CAATTTCTTGGATTACTATTTCTTTTGGTACCTTTTTTCTGGGTTTAGCTCCTTTTTTCTGAAGTGCCTCCTTTAGTAGTTCAGAAAAATACTGTTAATGTTAAACCCACTGTTTGCTTTTCTGAAAAAAATTTCTCTGTTATCCCTTAATTTTGAATGACAATTTAACTAGGTAGAGCAGATGCTACGGTCCCTTCTTCCCATACCCCTCTGACCTTAACTTTTCATGTGCCTCTTCTAGACCTCTTTGCCTGAGGAGCTGAATTGTTGGGGAATCAATGTCCCCAGGGAGCAACCCTTAACCCTAACTGACAGAAGTCAGTCTATTAATACCCCTGCTCTCTTGACCCAAGAGTGGGATAATTCTGAGTCATGTGTTATACACTGTTTCCTAGAGTTTCCTCATGGGATTAAGTTATAGTTGCCCACTATGGTGCTGGCTTAACAAACATCCTTTACTGGCTGCTTTCCCTTTCCCATGTCGTTCCCTACTTCCCTGCTGATATTTCCTGCCCTCCTAAACAAACTATCTGCACAAAAATTCTCAGGGTCTGCTTCCGGGGGCATTCAGAGTGTGGCACTGTGTTTCTCTTTGGATCTTCTCATTCTATCATGTTTCTTAACCCCTCTCTCATTTTTTAAAATCCCATTATCTCTGTGTGCTTATTCAGAGTAATTTCCTCAGATCTATTTTCTAGTAAATTTTTCTTCAGAAATGTTTGGTGGTTTTATTTAAGTTTTTAAATTAATTTGCTGTATATTTTCATTTCTAACAGATCTTTCTCAAGTTTTTCTCTTTTTTTCTCATTATATCTTTTTCTTTTATGATTTCAGTTCTTACTTCTTTGTCTATTATAATTTTAAATGTTCTTATTTTTTCTTCTCTGATCATTTTATTTTCTGAAGTTCTTGGGGGAGGGTCTAATCCTGCTTTTTGTTGTGACTGTTTATTCTTGCTTACGGTGGATTGTTTTCTCAAATGTTTTTTAATTAATGATTTTGAATTCATCTTTAGGAGAGCTTTATTTGTGGGACTTATATGCAGCCTGGGAAGAAAGTTTGTCTTTTTACATAGATTTGTGTTGTTTCTGCCAGGATGCTAGGTGATCCAGGTCCCGGCCTAAGACTAATGTCTGTGTCAATTTCTTAGCTTGGGAATTCCTGGACCTTGTGGATTATGTAAATTTGAACCTCAAACCTGCATGAGTGCCGGCCCATGGCTACAAATTCTGAAAAAAATCTTAATTTTCCTACCCTAAGAACAGATGGAGACAGATAAAATTTTATGTTGGTGGGTGGATTTTTCTCTCCTGACCGACCCTTTCGTGGAAGATGTTTTTCCCTCCAATAATTTTCAGCTTTATGTAGGGGTCTCCGTTCCTGTTCTTGGCCTCAGGTGCAGGCCCAAAGTCTTATGTCTTGTTCTTGCAATGTTCAGCCTCAAGCTTGGAGGGTACCCAGGCTGGCTAAACCCCTTAGGCCTGCACTGCTTCATACTCATTGGGTTTCCTCTTCACTGCTGACCCTTGGAGATATCCCTTACTTTCCTCCCAGCTCACCTGTGCATTTGTTACATTTAACACAGCATTTCCAGGTACTTTGTAGTGGGAGAATTTTCAGTTACTAAAAAAAAAAAAAATGCTGAAAACAGAAATTCTTAAATGCCTTTTCTACTATATTGTGCTAATTCTGCCTCTTCTACTCTTCTAACATTTGACCATTTTCTTCCTTGGAAACTTTTATCTCTTCCTGGGGTGGTAAACGGAGTGGTGGAGGGTAAGGGATGTATATGGGAAAGGGAGCAGGCTGGGGACATAATGTTTTCCCAAAACCTTAAGGTAAGTGGTATGATGTGAAAGGCAATGAGATGGGCCCCTATCTCTAAATATTTCTCAGGCTGCCTGTCATAGTGCCTGGAGTCTCACCACAAATAAGTAATTTTTTTCTTTCTTATCAGCTACCTCTTTTAGCAGAGATTAGTTTAGCAGATGATGCTGAGAATTAGGCTCTTGGGAATGAGGGGTTGGGAAGAAGGATTGGTGTATGTATGCGTGTGTGTGTGTTTGTGAGTGTGTGTGTGTGTGTGTCTGAGTGTAATGTCAGGTGAGGAATCAATGCACCAGAAATGGAGTAGAAGAGTCTTTGGAAGAGATATCAGAATCAAACCATACCATACCATCATGTGACAAAGGCCTAGGCTTGTGACCAGGGCCCTCATCTTTAACCTGTCCAACAACCTTGGCCAAGACCCAAATTGACTTTTTTTGTTAGGGGCCAGGACTGGATCATTTATACCTAGTATGGGCAGGAAGGCTCAGTGTTTGTTTCCCTCCAAACACAGTGCTAAATTGGCTCAGACTGAGGTGTTTTTCCAAGCTTTCCCAGAGCTCAGCCCTGGAATCTGGATCCAGAAGCTGTGCGGATCTGCTCTGGGTTCTGCTCTGGCCCAGAGAAGCCTACCCTGGGATGGCCAGAATTCCTGGTTATGCCTCTCTGTATGGGGCACTCAAGGAGCACCAGGGACTAGGTGTTGGCATTGTAGGAGTGTGGGAGTGGATGGGGGTTCACGGCAGTTCATTAAGACTGCTGCCAGGAGGTCTCCCACTAAACTGTTTAAAGCCTTATCAGTTTGGAGGTGTTTCTAATACCATTTCCTTTCATTGTTTCCTTTTGGCAATTAAGAGAAGGCTAATCCTCTGTTGTGGCAGCTCACAGCTATTGTGGTGGGGAAAGGGGAGGGTTGGGTTGGTGGACGTCACAACTTGCCCTTTATCTCCTCTGGCTGCAGGGACTTTGAAGCCCCTGGGCTATTTAACAGCAAGACCTTTCAGAGCTGCCACAGTTCAGACCCAGCCTCAGCAGTTGCTGGGGAGCATGGCCTAGGGACCTACACAGGCTGCGGCACCATCGTGAGGCTGAATTTCCCAAGAGAATTTGGAGCTCCTGATTGCAGGGAAAGGTACGGTCTTCTGGGAGGAAAGCTGGCTCAGGTGTGGGAGGAAGATGCAGGACTGAACCCTACCCTAGAGAGCCGGGACTCTCCATCCCTTGGACTACGAGGGCTTTATTTGGAGAGGGAGATTCAAAGCCAGGGACAATTCTAATGTCCTCTTCCTCAGTTGGCTCTGGGGGTCCTGTGGCTACTTCTGTTCATGCGGTGGGTTTTACTGCTTGGCAATACTTGGCTCAGATGAAGCTGGAATGAGCTTCACCTTCACCTCTGTGTACCTTCTGGGAGCAGCCTGATGTACCTGTATGTTGCAAGGGGTGGGAGAGGGGCACCTGGTTTGAGACCCAAACAAAAAAAGAAACCCAAACCAGTTGCTGTTGAGTTGACTCTGACTCATGGAGACCCCATGTGTGTCAGAGTAGAACCGTTCCATAGGGTTTTTTTTTTTAAATAATATTTTATTGTGTTTTTGGTGAGAGTTTACACAGCAAATTAGGTTCCCATTTAACAATTTCTACGCAAATTATTCAGTGATATTGGCTACATTTTTTCACAATGTGTCAACATTAATTCTGTTCTGGTTGTTTCCAGTAATCTAGTTTCCCTGTCCTCTTACCTTTTCATCTTTACTTTAGGTAATTGTTGACCATTTGGTCTCTTATAGACGATTTTATAAAGGAGCACAGTACTCACATCCATAGAGTTTTCAATGCTAAATTTTTGGAGGTAGATCACCAGACCAAGTCTTGGTCATACTTGATCATTAGTGTTCCTTCCACTGAGATATAATAGATTGGGCACATCTCTCCTTTGTTTGGCTGGATGGAGCATTAGGTAGGAAAGGAGTCATCCCAGTGAATCCCAGACGACAGATTCTGCATTAATTTAACAAACTTTTCTAGAGGAGAGGGGTTATGGCAAGGAGCATAAGCACAAGAGTAACAATGGCTGTGAGCCAGGACTCCTGGGCACCCTTCCCCAAACAACAGACTGTGGAGGGAAGCTCTTCCTTCTCCTCTATATTCCTTCAGTCACCCTGCCTCTCCCTGTTCCCTGCACTCTTACAGCAGCTAGGAGCTAATGAGCACCTAATTCCTTCCTGCCTCTTCATCCTCCTTCCACACTTGCAGCAAAATCTGGGGAGTAGGAACTGTCTTGGGGGTGTGCGCTTTCATCCGGGAAAAATTGTCCGTCTCTGGGAGGGCCACTGAGTCCTGTTGTTGCAGTGGTTAAGAGCTTGGCTGCTAACCAAAAGGTCAGCAGTTCAAATCCACCAGCTGCTCCTTGGAAACTCTGTGGGGCAGTTCTACTCTGTCTTATAGGGTCGCTATGAGTTGGAATTGTCTTGATGGCAATGGGCTTTTGTCAGGGAGGGCCATGCAGTGGTGAAAGCTGACCAGGCCCTGGGCTGCTGTCCTGGACTCCTGCCCATTTATCAGATCAACTCAGCAAACATTTACTGGGTGCTGGGCACCATGCTAGGTGCTGGCGATGGAGATGGGTGAGGCAGCCCCTGCTCTGGAAGCTGTCAAGGTACAGGCAGTAAACAACAAGCAAACTGTCCAGTCAGTGGTTCCTCAGCCTTCTGTAAGTCTGGGTGCCTGTGGTTGGAAAAAAAGCGTAAGACAGTTCCTACTCCCCAAATTTTGCTGCAAGTGTGGAAGGAGGATGAAGAGGCAGGAAGGAATTAGGTACTCATTAGCTCCTAGCTGCTGTAAGAGTGCTGGGAATAGGGAGAGGCAGGGTGACTGGAGCAATATAGAGGAGAAGGAAGAGCTTCCTTCCTCAGTCTGTTGTTTGGGGAAGGGTGCCCAGGAGTCCTGGCTCACAGCCGTTGTTACTCTTGTGCTTGGTCCTGGCGAGGAGCTTTTTTGGGACCAACAATCTTGGTTTAACCCATGTTCAAGGGAAAAATGGGGTACAATGAGGATCAATCTTTTCTCTTCTTTAAAAAAAGTGTTTTTCCCATTTCATGCACTGACAAAAGCACATACCAGCAGCCATCTCTCTGGGGATTAATGACCAGCTTATTTCTCTTGCTTTTCTGCAGATGATTCCTGCCCAACTTGCGAGGGTGTTGCTTGTGCTGGTACTCACCTTGCCAGGTAGGTACCAAGGTGTTTCCACTCCTCACTCTCTCCCCTGGGTCATTCAGAGCAGCCCCCATTCCAGGAGTCAGCAGCTATGGGACTGCCAGAGTCACTTGTTGCTGGGTTGATTCCACCATGACGGTTCTGCAGAGGCTCCTGCCTCTGGCCTTGTATTCCCCAGGGAGAAGATGCCTGGATATGTCTTTTTCTCCTATTGGGGAACTAAGAAGCACAAAGCTACCCTAGACTGTCCTATATGAGGGGGGTAGAAACGGGGCAGGGAGAGGGAATTCGAGGCTTGAATAGACTATTAGTTTTAGTAAGGATTGTGGAAGTCATCTAGTTGACCCTCTCATGGTACAGAAGAAGAAACTGAGGGTCAGGAAGGCCAAGATCAGTGATCACCTCCTGCGTCCCAGGCCCGTGATCTTTCCACTGCACTGCATAGCCTTTCTCCCCTTGCTGAAATTCTGCATCTATCCTGGGCAGGTGGGGAAGTTTTCTGATGATTGGCCTGTCTCCAGTTAGACCACTTGGGCCAGCAGCATCCAGCCTGCCACCCACAGGTTGGTCTGGGGCAAAGTATACATTTGTCACCTCGTCTGCATCTTCCTACCAGGTGGGTCCTGTGCTGGAGGCCCAGAACACTTAGAGATTTAGTGCTGTTCTCTACCTGCCAACACACAAACACACACACACACACTGAATAAGAGTGGCAGGAGAATCTCTTGGGAGTTAACATATGATCCCAGGGGAGTTCACAGTTCATAAGTAGATCCCTTCTATGCGTCAGGCACACAGGCTAATCTGTTATAATTTAATCTGTTCAAGATATGCAGGTAGATTTATGTACAACAGTGCTCATTGCAATCTACCTACCATACCAGAAAATTCAGAAAAATGCGAAGAACCTAACAAAAGAATGTTATACTACATACATTTAAATGCCAAATATAACACAGCCATTAAAATCATGTTTCAGAAGTCTAGAAAATGGCATGATAAATTCTTTACAATATATATATAGAAAAAAAGGGGGATTATAAAGTTTGTACAGTTATAATTGCAAGTTTGTAAAAAATCCACAACTGTATACATGGTGTGAAATAGAATGGAAAGGTAAACACTAAAATGTTAACTCTAGTTATCTCTGAATGATGGGTTACAGATGATTTTAATGTCTTCTTTGCATTTTTTTTCCTGCATTCTCCAAATTTTCTATAATGAGCATGCATTGCTTTATAAATCAGTAAATAAATGTCATTAAAACCAGTGAATGGAGGAAAAAATGTTCCTCCATTATTACTATGAGTCCTGTGTCATATTTGGGGTTTGAAAGAAACAGCTTTAGTCTCATTTAGGATGGAAAATACTTCCTCACAGCCTAATTTCTATCAGGCCCAGCCTCATTTCTACAAAGACAGAGTGGTTTGGGCTGGCGGTCCTAGTGTTGCTCACCTGTGGTCTCTCCCTCCAGGGACGCTTTGCACAGAAGGGACTCATGGCAGGCTGTCCACAGCCCGATGCAGCCTCTTTGGAGATGACTTCATCAACACCTTTGATGAGAGCATGTTCAGCTTTGCTGGAGACTGCAGTTACCTCCTGGCTGGGGACTGCCAGAAACACTCCTTCTCGATTCTCGGTGAGTCCAGGGCACTGAAGGAACAATCCAGAGAGGGGGCAGCTGAGCTCAGCCCTGTTGTGTGTGGGGGAACTGGGGAGGTGAGGAGAATTTCTAATTGCATGGCAGTGCCTGAGATTGCAGATTGCTGCTGAAAACATGGCAGGGAATGGCCTTTCCCATTTGTCTTCTCCCCACGGGAGTCTGGTGGAATGGGGTGCGTTCTCATGCTCCTCCAGTGGTTGTATGTCTGTTGCTCTCGGTCCAGACAATGCTCTGGGAGCTCTGAAGCATCAAGAGAAAGGATGAACCAGAAGGTGCATTGTAACACATAAAGCTCTTTGCAAAATGGACGAATTGTTATTTTCTTGGTGGCCTGTGTAATTCAGATTATCTCTTTTATATTGGGAGTCCCTGGGTGGTGGAATTGGTTAATGTCCTCAGCTGCTAACTAAAAGGTTGTTGATTTGAGTCCACCCAGAGGTGCCTTGGAAGAAGGGCCTGGTGATCTACTAAAAAATCAACCATTGAAAACTATGGAGCACAGTTCTACTCTGACACACATGGGGTTACCGTGAGTTGGAATCGATTGAACGGCAGCTGATCTATATCTTATGTTTAGCATTTCCTATGTTCCTGGAAAGTGCTGGTACTTTACAGTGTTATCTCTGCATCCCACAGCAACTCTGAGATGTAGGCATAGTCATCTCTGTTTTGCAATAATCCTCCTAAGTCTTGACAGATAATAAATGAAGGAGCTGAATTTTAATCCTGTCTTTCAGGTTGAAGGAACTTTCCTCTGTGCTAAGCAGAGAGGGAGTTTTCCCAAGGCAGGAAGGCAGGGCTGGAGGCTGTGATGGAGGATCGCGGTTTGGTGACCTCCACACTTGAAGAATCAGATGTGTGTGATGTGTAGGAGTCTCTGGATGGTGCAAACGGTCAATGTGCTCAACTGCTAACTGAAAGGCTGGAGATTCGAGTCCACCCAGGGGCTCCTTGGAAGGAGTGTCGTGCAGCAGGGAAGGGTCAATTTGCTCTTTGCTGAGATAGTTCTGAGAGGGAAAGAGGAAGGAGGCAAGTCGGTCTTGGCTATGGTGACCAGGTGAGAGGTGGAAAGGGCCAGAGATATCCGTGGGTGTCACAAGTCAAGGGAGCCATCCTGAACACTGAGCTTCAAGCCCCACCTTGCTTCAGAGGCAGCAAGTCTTCGGAGAGCAGCTGGAGAGAAAAAGTGCCCCCTCACCTTCCTTGGGAAGCTGAAGGCTCAGGTCCTTCCACCTCAGGTGACCCCAATGTTTATTTTCACTGGATTTCTCCACCATAAAAATCCTAGTGGAATAGTGGTGATGGTTGCATAACATGATGAACGCAATCAATGTCATGGAGTTTTACGTGTAAAATGTGTTGAACTGACAAATGTTTTGTTATATATATTTTTACCACAATTAAAAAAAGTCCTAGTGGAGCTGATACAGATCCCCTATCTGAGATGGTTGTGGGAGTGTCAGTCAGCATGGAGGGTTAGGACTGTCAGGAGGAAGATTTTGAAGGGAGAAATAGTAAGTGACATCCTATCCACTCTATGACTGTGGAGTTCCAGGGGAGGGGAACCATATGGAGACATTGTGGTGCCCTGGACGGGGGTTGTTGGCGTAACACCAGGATCTGGTTAGCTCAACTCTGTGGTGGACTTCCTACCCCAGAGGCTTGTAAATAACACCCAGTGAAATCTTAGTCCCAGGAACAGAGTGCAGATTCTGGGCTCAGGGAGCCAAGTTGGCATGTTGGAAAAGTCCCTTCCTCATGCTTAAGGAGAACTACAGACCCCTCCCCCCCATTAAGGGTAGCCCTCACAGGCAGGGAAACTGGGCTGTGCTGTGCTTCTGGGTTATAACTGTCCCCTCCTCTTGGACCCCCTGACTACTCCGGCCCTGTCCAGTACTGACTCACTCAACTTGTGCTGACAATTATTTTCCATTTCTTGGGACCTGGTGGAGTCCCTAGGTGATGCAAATGGTTAATGCACTTGACTGCTAACTGAAAGGTTGGAGGCTTGAGTTCACCCAGAGGTGACTCAGAAGAAAGGCCTGGTGATCTATTTCTGAAAAACCAGCCTGAAAACCTTGTGGTGCACAGTTCTACTATGACATACATGGGGTCATCATGAGTTGGCGTTAACTTGATGGCAACTGGTATAGGGTCGCTGTGAGTCAGAATTGACTCAAGGGCAACAGGGTTTTTTTTTTTTAACGGGGTTGGGACTTGGTGGCCCTGCCTCTAGCGGGAAACAGAAGCATGGAAAGAGCCATTGCTGGGCCAGAAAACTTGCATTCTCATCTCTATTCTCCCACTTCACTGTGTCTGTAGGAAAGCCACCCAATGTCTCTCAGCATTCATCTTCTCATCTCTGAAAGGGAGATGCTGTGAGGATCAAGTGAAGCACTGTGGATGAGCTCTCTGTCTCAAAATATCCCAGTGAGATTCCCCATTGAGGAGTTATGCTTTTCTTATAACAACTTGTTCTCATCAAGTGTCAATTTTCTAGTAGGTATTGACCTATACTAGGCCATAGACAAATTATACTTTAATGTAGATTTGTTTGATTTCCACCAAAAATTGTGCTACTACCATCAGAGAGAGGGGGTAGTCCTTCTTTTTTTTTTTTTTGGTGGTGGTGTTGGGGTGTGTGTGTGAGGATGGGGTGTTAGAAGGAAAGGAATAATCCGGAGGAGGCTGGACCTGGGAGTGTTGGGCTAGCGTTGGTGCCTGAGGGGGGACAGGGGCCCCAGCACACTGGACCATCCAGTTTCCTTTTGCATGCCACCATTGACTCTGTCCTGCACACCTTCTGCTCCATTGTTCTCCAACAACGTCCTGTTTCCTTGAGTTTGAACTGCAAATTCACATTCCTGTCTGAATACCAAGGAACCTTGTTCACTTCCTGGGTAAAGTGTTTATATCCCTATAGAAGGGCCACCTGGTGCAAAGAGGAGGCCCTTTTCCTGATCCTGGCTCCTGGTCAACCAGGCTTCAGGTGCTGAGGCCAAAGCTACCGGTTTCCTGGCAGTCAGCACAGGGGCCAGGAGGAGACTGCAGGAGTTCTGGTTCCTCTTGCTCTGTAGACTCTACTCTTCCTAAGCCAGAGCTGCAGGATCTGACTCCCAAACTAACCCAGAGAGAGAACCAGAAACAACCACCAACCTGCTGAGTCACTTCCCCAGCGGAGCCTTCCTTTCCGCATCAGTAAAATGAGGTGTGGTCAGATGAGATCACTGTTTCTCAGAGTTTGGATGGAGGATCCCCTGTGTTAGAATCATGGGGTGGAGGGTGGGGAGTCTGTTAGAAATGCAGATTAGTGAGTGCTACGCTAAGGTTCAAGAAAGCGCCCAGATCTGACTCTGGTTCCAGCTGCCTGCCCGCTCCTGAAGGGCCTTGGATGCCTCTCTCTCCAACACACTGGGAGGCCTTGCCCTTCAGTTTGGGCCTCAGTCAATGAGTTCAAGGGACCAGACAGGAGGCAAAGGGAGAGCTTCATGGGGGTCTCTGGTCTCTTGGGGTGGACACCCAGCCCCCTGCCCCCCTTTTCCTAGAATTACAGGAAGTGCTAACATGGAAGTCAGTGAGTGTGGAAGTCCCTCCTGGGCCCACTGGCACTTTCTAATGGCTCACCTTCCTAATGGCTGTGCATCATCGCATTCCTGCACCAACACCACCCTCACCCAAACAAGATACAATGCTAATTTAGAGTTTTCTGGGTCAGTGGTTAATTGAATCTAGAGCACTCATGTGCCCTGTGAGGCAGCTTTAGATTTGGAGTCAGAAAACCTGTGTGCAGGCTCTGCCCCATTACCAGTGTAAACCAACACATTTAAATCAGGGGTGATTTTTTCTCCCCAGAGGACATTTGGCAATGTCTGAAGACATAAAATCATGGTTGTCACAATTGTGGGCAGGTGGGTGGGGTGGTGATAGTGGTTTGCTACTGGCATCTAATGGGTAGATCTGCTAAGCATCTACAATGCACAGGACAGCCCCCACCACAAAGAATTACCCAGCCCCAGAAGCCAATAGTGCTGAGGTAGGGAAACCCTGTTGTAAACTTAGGCCTCAGTTTCTCCATCTATAAAATGGAATCAGTCTAGATCAGTGCTTTTCAAACTGAGTCACAACCCATGTGTCATAAAATTAATTTAAGGGTTGTAACAAGGAAGACCAGTCAATACGACTATTATTCAAATTTATGCACCAACCACTAAGGCCAAAGATGAAGAAATTGAAGACTTTTACCAACTTCTGTAGTCTGAAATTAATCGAACATGCAATTAGGATGCATTGATAATTACTGGTGATTGGAATGCAAAAGTTGGAAACAAAAAAGAAGGATTGGTAGTTGGAAAATATGGCCTTGGTGATAGAAACGATGCCGGAGATGGCATGATAGAATTTTGCAAGACCAATGACTTCTTCACTGCAAATACTTTTTCTCACCAACATAAACGGTCACTATACACATGGATCTCACTAGATGAAATACATAGGAATCAAATCGACTATGTCTGTGGAAAGAGACAATGGAAAATCTCAATATCGTCAGTCAGAACAAGGTCAGGGGCCCACGTGGAACAGACCATCAATTGCTCATATGCAAGTTCAAGTGGAAGCTGAAGAAAATTAGAACAAGTTCACGAGAGCCAAAGTACGACCTTGGGTATATCCCACCTGAATTTAGAGACCATCTCAAGAATAGATTTGACGCTTTGAACACTAATGACCAAAGACCAGATGAATTGTGGAAAGACATCAAGAACATCATACATGAAGAAAGCAAGAGGTCATTTAAAAGATAGGAAAGAAAGAAAAGACCAAAATGGATGTCAGAAGAGACTCTGAAACTTGCTCTTGAACGTCAAGTAGCTAAAGCAAATGAAAGAAATGATGAAGTGAAAGAGCTAAACAGAAGATTTCAAAGGGCAGTTCGAGAAGACAAAGTAAAGTATTATAATGACATGTGCAAACACCTG